TTGTCCATCGGATTATCATCAGTGATATATAATCAGGAGAAGAAGATGGAATCTTGATAAACAAGTCTTTCATATCTTATATGTATTTGCGTCTTTTTCTTTCTTTTGTTTATGATGGATCCATTGAATTTTGATAATTTTTTTTAGCAGATTAAGATGCTGCGCTTATAGCCAGGGTTATCTCCTTAGATGCATTACATCAATAGACATAGTCAATTTTGGAAAAACTCAAGTTTGAAGATTTCTGTGCTAGATGGCTTTGTAGTCAGGGGCGGAGCTATAGTAGTGGGTGCGGGTTCGGGCGAACCCGGTGACTTTTTCCGGAACCCTGTATTTGTATTGAAATAATTACTAAATCTATATAAATATATACTGCCGAACCCAGTAACAAAAGGGGTCTTGGTTCAACGGTAAGGGTTGTGGGTTCGCTGGGAAAGATGGGGGTTCGATTCCCCCTGAAAGCAGTATTTTATTTTAAAATTTAGAACCCACACACTTAAATCCCTAGCTCCGCCTCTGGTTGTAGTTGGACTCAAAATTGACTTCATTCCTCTAAGTATAGAATGACACATTCAGAAAGTGTAATGTATCTGCTTTAAATAGATGAGCTTTTCTCCTGGAGTTGGTTCTAACAGGAGTTCTTTGGACTGATGCAAACATCATATCAATGAATATCAGAAAGAAATAGTTGCCTCTCAACCTTTTCTTTTGTGCATTTCAAGACATATTATTATTATAGCTTCTTGCGAGTTCTGTAGTCTTTGTTAGGGGTGGGCATAATACCGACTGAACCGAAAATTTCGGTTTATTCGGTTTTTCGGTTTATTCGGTCGGTTTGCGGTTTATAATTATAAAAAATTCGGTGTTCGGTTCGGTGGTCGGTTTTAATGGTTCGGTTTTCGGTTTAACCGAAAAATTGAATTTCGGTAGAGGTGGCCGATAGGCTGGCCACTGCAAGGCATTATGCAGGGAAAGAAAGTGAATCAAGACATTAATAATGCATTATTCCCACATGCATTGATCGGCTATTATGTTGACACATTTTAGGAAATGTGAATCCTTGATAATATGGTGCTGTAAAACATCCATTGATTTTAGCTTAACTAGTCTTTTCTTCTTTTTTTTTTTTACCAAAGAAATTATTCAATTTCTTAAAATGATCGTATTATTAGTAGTTAAAGATTTAAAGTGGCTCATTATCTTTGAAAGAGAAATAAACTTCAGAAGACTGGTAAAAAGATTAATTACACTAACATCTCAGATAACTGTACATGGTATTAGTATATAATTTACTGTTTCATTTGTTTTCTTTTTTTTGGAAGCTTTGAAGTGATAAATGGAAATAAAGTATGCCTTGTAATATTTATGAACACTTAGCTAGCTAGCTTTGTCCCCACAGATATTCTCTTTAGCTACCTTTTGAAGCTTTCCATATTGCATGATGCTCTATGAAATCATTGGCATTAAAGCTTGCACTTTATTCTTCATTTACATCATTAAATTTTGATTTGTTTGCTTTTTGTGGGTTCTAAATTAGCTTTGGATAAGCACATTTAGATTCACGCAAAGCAGGAGATCCTTTGTTTTTCACTCAAAATCTAGTTTTCTTGTTGCATCAAAGTACTCAGTTCGTTTTATTTTATATAATTGTGTTTGATTAATCATGAAATTTAAGAAATACATAAATATTTACATATTTGTGTGGCTATAAAACTTTTGAAACTTGTCGTCTTAAATATGTCGAAACAATTATGATGATAAACGCTTGTCGTTAAAAATAAAATAAATTTTTTGCCATGGCTTGAAACCGAAAACCAAACTGATTAAACCGAACCGAACATGAATAAACCGAACCGAAGTTATTATGGTTCGGTTTTGGTTATTAAAATCACAAACCGAAAACCGAATTAACCGAACCGAAATACTACAAAACCGAACCGAACCGACCGATGTCCACCCCTAGTCTTTGTGACTTTTCATACGCACGCTACAGCAGAGAGCCTGCTATTACTTTCTATGGTTCTTTTCTTTTCATACTGCATTTGCATCTGCTTCAGCTTCTTAATTGTCTTCAGTTCAATAATCCTGGTTTCTATTACTTTTGCTTTTGTACTTGCTCTTGTTTATACATTTTTTTTCTCTGTGTATTGCTTATCAATCGCAGCTATCTTTCCGAGAATCAATGTTGGGGACCCATACAAACGACTTGGTATTAGCAGGGAAGCTTCGGAGGATGAAATCCAAGCTGCTAGGAACTTCTTAATACAAAGATATGCTGGTCATAAACCAAGTGTGGATGCAATTGAAGCAGCCCATGATAAAATAATAATGCAGCAATTCTATGATAGGAAAAACCCAAAAATTGACTTTAAGAAGAAAATCAGGGATATAAAACAATCTCGTGTTATGCAGGCTGTCACTAGCAGGTTCAGAACACCAGCTACAAATTTCGTCGTGAAAACTTCTATCGCTTTCATAGTCCTTGGAGCTCTCACAGTTTTCTTTCCTACTGAAGAAGGTCCAACGCTTCAAGTTGCCATTTCCCTAATCACTGCCATATATTTCATTCATGATCGGTTAAAGAGCAAACTTCGAGCTTTTCTATATGGGTATGCTTTTTAATAGTCCTCTGACTTGACAAAGAAAACTGAATTTTAATACCTATGTTGCATAGTCTCTTAATTTGACCTTGATGTATTCATGTCAAATGTGTCGGAGAATGGTAATGGTTATTTTTAAGTTCTTCAAAATACACTAGATAGCTGCAAAAAAATTGAACATACACGGGTCTTCCGTCCTCTTCATTCTTGAATCTAGTACTAGTATCAGAGATGATGTATTGCTTGATAAAGCACTTACTCAAAATTAGTTGTAGTCACTTCATGGAATTAAGTCTTAATTTCTTGAATTCATAGACTTCTTACATATATTGCTTTACTATTTGATAGGCCTGGTGTTCTGTTTATTGCTAAATTGTTTCTGGATTTTATTATGGTGCAGAGCTGGTGCTTTTATTTTCTCTTGGCTTTTGGGGACGTTCTTGATGGTGTCTGTGATTCCTCCTATACTTAAAGGGCCAACGAGTTTGGAGGTGACAACTTCATTAATTACGTACGTACTTCTGTGGGTTTCTTCTACTTACCTCATATAGGACCATGGCATCATCTCAATTTTGGTAGGGAAGTACATTAGTTTCTCAATACTAAAAGAGAGGAAGATTATTGAAACTCAGGCCAAGTGTCATGATTGTCTGTGACAGCTTTTATTGCTAAGTTCTTGTGAAGTTTTTGACACGAGGAAGTGTAGATTTATGTAATGAAACCTTTTTCTCTGCTTAGAAATTGGTGATTCTTAAGACAGATTCTTCTTATTCCGAGGCCGAAGAGTAGCTAGCCTTATTCTTAGCACTGCTGTTTTAGCTAAATGTACTGTTCGCTTGACATTCCTTGTCACGTATCTCCCATATGTCAATGCTTGATGAGGAAAAACTTACCCGCTGCAGGCGTTTGAACGAGACCAATAGAATGCATGTCATTCCTTTTTAAACTAAAATTTTATAACTTGACCATGATTAACTAATGGTTGAATTTGTGACTATTGTTCCTCTTAAGGAAAAAACTGGTTTAGTGCAAACATGGAGTGTGAATTAGTATAGAATGCCTATGACGTTCTTTACATTTGCACGTATGGGCTTGTCCTAAGACATATGTACACCTAGTTTTCACCTTTGATATACGCACCGCTATGTATACTCTGAATGTTGTGGTTGTAGAAGTTTTGCAATCTCCTTTTGCGTGAATGGGTATGCATAAGCACAATCTCAGCTGTAACAGTTGAGGAAGAAACAAAGAAAAGGAAATATGATTACAACTGTAGTCTGGTGGTCGTTTGTCATGGGATGTGTTTGAGTGGCTCATGAGTGACGACATTATTTCTGAAAATTTCATGGGCCATTATTGAATTCAAGCCGTTAACCTGAAACTGGGATTGATGTGATATATGTGCTCACCTTTTCTTGATTAGAGTGGTGGAATGGAGTGGTACATCTTTTGCGCATTAACATTGAGGGTTGTGGTGGGACTTCGCGCATAGCGGGAGCTTAGTGCACTGAGCTGCCCTAAAGACCAGATACTGGATGATCTTTTCCCATGAAATGTTCACCTAGTAAGTTTTCTCCATATATTTTTTTCTTGAGATATCACAAGGGAAAGAGGAACAAATTCTTACGTCTGGTTAATTGCCAAATTGCTTCGGTATCTTTTTGGCATGTCAAAAGGAAAACGTTCGCATCCCTCAATTCTCCAAATAAAATCAATTAGGTAGGACCTGCCAATCTCATCACATCAACCTTTCCTTGTAAGGTTGTTAATCTCCCTCTTCCAATGAAACAAAGATTGAGGACTTACAATCGACCATCCATTTTTTTCTGAAAAGGAGAAGCCCAAATTTGACTGCATTAGAAATTCTATTCTTGCGTTTTAGAATAATCAGAGCCCCAAATCAACCAATGCTTGATAGTTTGTACCTTGTCCCTTCTACTGCGAATATTCGAATAGAACTAGGTGTTACTTAGGTGCAGAGTTCCAAACAATGTTTACACCTCCAATAATTTTAACTTTAGTAGTTACAAATTAGAGTATGAATACATGATTAAAGTTATAAATGTGTGATATAATAAATACGGGATTGAACAAATTCTTTTTTACTGTTTGGCATCCGTTTTTCCATTTCCACGTGTCAGCTCTTCAATCTAACGGTCCACATTTGTTTGATTAAAAATTAATCTTAACCACAAATCTCCATCTCTTTAACCACCTCCAAGAGGAAGCTCTGGTTGGACACACTTCACCTCCTATCAGCGCAGCGTCATGCAATTCCTAGTTTTGCCCAAGCCCAGTCAGCAAGTTATCAAGCCACTTGGCACTTGTTGCTTGGCCAATGTATTATGGCCTCAAATTACATATCTCCCTGGAACTATATAAATGTACTGAGCATGAGGCTCTCTATTGTATTATTAAACACAGAAAGCAAACAACCAAAAAGATAAAAAAAAATCTTGTAGCTGAGGAGAGAAAGATAAGGAAAGAAAAAAAAAATGGCATCAGCATCTCTCCTCAAGACATCACCAGCCATTGGCAAAACTGAGTTCATAAAAGGTCAGGCCCTTCGCCAGCCATCAGTCTCCGTCCGGTGCCACCCTGCACCTCCCTCCGGACTCACTGTCCGCGCCAGCTCTTACGCTGACGAGCTCATCAAAACCGCGGTACGTGTTGGTGTATCTACCATTTACTTTATTTATGCTATCAGTGTATTTTAAACGTGTTGTAGTGGATAAATAGATTAATTTAATACAAGTAAATTATTGCTCTAGTACTTACTGAGTTGCTTCACTTGACACTTGAGTCTTGCAAGATTGCAGCTTTAATTACCATCTCACTGTCCTTTAATTTCCACTTCTTACTATCATCTCATCAACTTCGTTTTTACTCCTGTCAAACAACTAAAGCATGGTCTGGTTACATGTACTAGCAAATACTCCCACCATCTCAATTTATGTGGCCCATTTGACTTGGCAAAAGAAATGAAGATTTTTGAAACTTGTAATATGAAACAAGCCTTAAATATTTGTGTGGCTTTAAATCATCTCGTTAAAGGGTACAAGAGGAACTTTTGAGTTAAATTGTTTCTAAATATAGAAAGATAGACCTTTTTTTGGGACAAACTTAAAAAAAAAGAGTGCCACATAAATTAGGACGGAGGGAGTAACTTAGTTCCTACCCGCTAGTTGCATTCCCTGTAGAAGATTGATATCATGTGAATGATCAAGCTGACAAAAGAAACCCATTAAAATGTTTGTTTTTCCTCCTTAAAAGGTTATACTGTGCTATATCTGGTTTATGCACAAGCTTCTAGGGAAATAGCATGTGAATATATCATAAGTGCTACTCAAGAATTATGAGAAGTTTCAAATAGTATTAGTGGTTAAACCCCAGTATGAAATATCCTCAAGGTGAATGAAGCATATAGCTGATATAAACTAATGGTTGATTAATGTAGAAAACCGTGGCATCTCCTGGCCGTGGAATTTTGGCCATGGATGAGTCAAATGCTACATGTGGGAAGCGTTTAGCTTCAATCGGACTGGAGAATACTGAAGCTAATCGCCAGGCATACAGGACCCTTCTTGTTTCAGCTCCAGGACTTGGTAAGTACATCTCAGGTGCCATCTTATTTGAGGAGACACTTTACCAGTCCACCGTTGATGGAAAGAAAATCGTTGATGTACTTCATGAGCAGAACATTGTTCCTGGCATTAAGGTTGACAAGGTAAAGATCATACTATGTGAACTAGTCTTAAATTCTTGATTTAGTTAGGTGGTGAAGAAGTTTAAGAATATTTTGATTGCCATGTTTTAACAAGTTTTAGTTATGGTTCAACGAAAACTACAGGGTCTAGTTCCCTTGGCTGGCTCAAACGATGAATCCTGGTGCCAAGGTCTTGACGGCCTTGCCTCGCGCTCTGCTGCTTACTACCAACAAGGCGCTCGTTTTGCTAAATGGTAGCCTACCATTCTACTCTTGTATATAAATTGAATGGGATTTAACTTTATATCCATTGACAAAATCATTGAATTTTCACACAATTAGTGCAATTTAACCTGTTTTAGAAGCCCACTTACCTTGTTTTCTAGGTTACTGATTCCATTTATTATGAATAACTAACTTCAGTTACCTTTTAAGTGACCTGATAGTATAAAAAAGATTTTACATTATCAGTGAAAATTAAACTCAATGTGCTTTATTGAATCCCTTCTTATCTTCTTTATTATGAATCTTACAGGCGTACTGTGGTGAGCATTCCCAATGGTCCTTCTGCACTTGCAGTAAAGGAAGCAGCCTGGGGTCTCGCTCGCTATGCTGCAATTTCTCAGGTAAGTTGGCATACAGGAAATGGAGACCACAATAAGGGTGTTTTTGGTATGAAGCCATGTTTGGTTGTCTTAAATGTTTTGGAAAACATTTTGGAGGAAAATGTTAGAAGGGAAAACATTTTCCAAAACTATTTTTCAACCTTCTCCGCCCTATTTCCCATCCGC